AGAAGGAAGAAAGAGAAGAGAGTCCACACAGAGTGTTCCAGGCCCCCACATGCCTGCCTGCTGGAGCCACCGCCAGCAGCACACAGATTCATCCTCCTCAGCTCAGGCCCAGAGATCCACCCCAAAGAGCCTGCCAGCTCCCACTAGCTTACTCCACCCTCCCCTCAGCTCCATTGCTTATTTTATTTTCTCCTTTGATTGTTTTGAGACACGGTTTCTCTGTGTAGCCCTGGCAGTCCTAGAGCTTGCTCTGTAGGCCAGGCTGACCTCAAACTCAGAGATCTACCTGCCTCCTGAGTGCTAGGATTAAAGACATGTGCCATAATGGTATCCTGCTTATTTTATTTCTAATTTTTATTTATTTGTTTTGAAACAGAGTCTCACTGTGCACCCTGGCTGTCTTAAAACTCTGTGTAGACCAGACTATCTTGAAACTCACAGAGACCTGCCTGCCTCAGCCCCCAGTGTGCCTTTAATCAGCAGTGGGATAGATAATCCCTTGACATTTGAGATAAATTCCTAAACACTGAATATCCTATTTTAAAAATCAAGGTATAAAATGACCCCGAATCTTCCTGCCGCTCACCCTAAAATTAAGGAGTATTTGAAAATAGACCCCTGCATTTATTTTCAGTGAAATACCCAGGCATCTGTTGGGGGGAGGGGGAGCATAATTTAAAGAAGGGTTGACTTAATGCCAAATCCTTGTGCCATGAGTTCCATCGAGGTGCAGGGAGAAGTAATCTCAGTAGCAGAATTCCTCAGCCTGTCTTTACCACACTTGGGCAAACTCCACAGAACCCCTGGAGCTTTTATTGAGCCTGTGCATGAATCTATTACAGAGCATTTACATCTGTTTAAACTCCACTGTTAACAAATACAGCGCTGTTTATGATTCTGGTACAGTAATCAACAAATGTAGAGACTGGTCCTCGGAAGCTCAGCCAGTTCCCCATCTTCTTGTAGGGGAAGGTCACCTGACCTGAGAGCCAGTGTGTCAGGAAGAGATAGGACTAGTTGATGAAATGAGACCCAACAGTACAGAGTGTTAAAGGTAGAGAAGCTATAAACTATTCCCTGTGTAAGTCTAAGATTGAGACAAGTCAGCCTTCAAATGACTCAGCTCAGTAGTGTGTCACTGTCCAGTGGCATAGCAAGTGTTTTTCAAGCTAAATTTTGATGTCAGGTGTAAATTTGTTCTTAAAACTGAAGTTAAATGTTAACCCCTTCCATGAAATGTTTTGTTCCCACTGCCACCGCTGCTGTTTGTGATTTTATTCTATCCCATGCGTATTCCTCTTCCCAAACTGTGAGCTTTCTGAAGACCAAGTCTTCCCCATCTTTAAATTATTGTAGATGTCATATGCGCAGTGTGTTAGTCAAGTGAGTGATTGGCAAGAGGGAAGGAAGCATTTCCGACTTGTAGTCTAAAATTTAAATGGGGACCCTGTGTGCCTGGAGGTTCCCCTCTCCAAGTAGTCGGTGCTCAGTACAGTAGGAGACCCCCAAAGAAATCTGCAAGGGAAATGAAAGCAGGACCAGCTCTAGGCAACAGTGTTAGTAGTCATGGACTTTATGATTTTCATTTTCTCTAGTCCAACCCCCAAAGCGTCTCTCCCTGCAGCCAGAGGTTCCCTTGGATGAACTCCCCAGGCCTTTCCAATGCTGGTTACTTTACATTCCCACTTTTCATCAAAACTACTCCCTGTGTCCTCTTCCTTCAGAGCTGGTCTGTGCCCCTCCCCCCACTACCTCCTGATTTAATGATTATAGATTCCTATACCTGTTACAGACAAGGGTATTGAGAGGTAGTATGTTCCAGTTCCAGGAATGAAATTAATCCAAAACACATAACCCAAAAGACACTGTATCAGGCCCCGTGCCTGAGTGTCGGATTATCCATGGTACCTCTTCCATGGCCCATATGAAGCCAACACTTGAAAATGCCAGGCTACCTGTAGAACTCCTGATCCTATACATCCACATTTATACAAGGCTGTGGTGCAGCAAGCTGCAGATGTTATAGCTGCATTATAGTATGACCCATAGATACATAATTCGTTTGTGGTGACATAAAATGGCTGGATTCTCTGGTGTCAGCCCTACAGAGTAGACTTAGTCTCAGAGGAAAATGAACCAAGATACTGTCCTTGTGCTGCAGCTGTGCTCATCTCACTGGGTAGGTGTGGTGCTACTGGAAGCCACCAGTCCGTTGTTTCTCCCTTCCCCCTCCCGGTGTGGAGGGCAGAATTAAAAGTACTGTGTAGTTGATGATAGAGAAGAGAGCCAGACTTTTCTGTTGAATTGGAAGGCCAGATCTTTTTACTTGTTTGAAAGTGTTCTAGAGCAGTCTTTGGGTAGTCTTTTTCTGTATGCAGAAGGTCTTCAGTCCTGAACTCTCAAGTAACCTCATTTGATTGTCTGTTCACAGGATGGAGGTGTTACCCCTTTAAGAGCCAGTCTGAGCCATTGCTGGGTTTTGAAAGATTCTGATAACTGGGCTTTTTTTACTGTGATCGATGATAACATTTTTAATTTAGAGTTGGGACAGCTCCATCTGGTAGTAAGTACAGCTGGAGTAGACAAGGCACACTATTGTTCTAGAACCAGTAGGGTTCAAATGCAGTCTCGCCTGAATAGGTACACAACTGAAACATGGGCTTCTGCTACACTGAACTTTTAGACAGCTGTTTTCACTTTCACAATTTCTGCCATAGTTGACTGCTACTTGAAATTTTTGCACCATTTTCTCTTAAATATACTTACTACTCTGCATGAATGTGTGTTTTAGGGCCATGGTGGAAAACTGTTCTTCCTTGTTCTTAACTAAAGGTAATCAACAATGAAAATAAAGATCATTAAATTCTAGCTACACAATACTGACCACTAAGGCTGAGCCCGTGGCCAGTCTCCAATTATTATTAACCTGGGATTAGGGTATGCCAACACCATCAAGAACCATGACAAATGCAAAGAGAGCCCTTAGTAGTCTGTGTGTTTGACTGGCTGGATTTATATGAACAGAATAAAAATCATCCTAGAGGTAAGTGGCTCTCTGCATACACCCAAGAAGTGGTTGGGATACACTAATGTGTACATGAAAAGAAACAAAATCCACAATCAATGTATAGAAGCAAGAATGCCATTAGTTTGCAAGCACTTAATACTAGTGTGTTACTGCCAAGAGAGATGGCTTGTTTTGTATGCTTGACCCAGTTCCAGCTGCAAGGATGCTTGGCAAAGCAGGTACAAAGTCAGCAGTCAAGTATATATTAAGTCAAAGAATGCAAACTACATTTGCAAGGCTCCTAGCTGGTATTGTCCTAAGGATGGGGGCTGGGGGGGGCGTGCACTGGCACAGCCTGGAGAGCTTATGGGAAACAAGATTTGGAGAAAATCTTGAAGGAAGTAATAGAGCATGGGAGTACATGAAACCAGGTTTTGTCTCACTGAGGTTGTGATCTTTCAGTGACTTCAAAACAGAATTTTTGCCCTCTGGTTTAAATAAGTTCTTTCCTGAGATCTGAAGACCCCACTCCATTGTCCTTGTTCACAAATATCACAAACATTCATTCACAGCCTAAAAAAGAAGAGCTGTATGGTACACATCTGTAATCCCAGCACAGGTAGAGGCAGGCAGATTTCTGAGTTCAAAATCAGCCTGTCTACATACTGAGCTCCAGGCCAACTGTGGTGGTTTGAGAAAATGGCCCCTTGGAGGGAGTGGCACTATTAGGAAGTGTGGCTGTGTTGTGGGTTTGGCCTTGGAGGAAGTGTGTCATGGAGGCAAGCTTTGAGATCTCATATATGTTCAAGCCACACCTAATGTCTCAGTTCACTTCCTGTTGCCTGCCAATCAAGATGTAGGACTCTTAGCTCCAACACCATGCCTGCCTGCACCCTGCCATGTCCCACTGTGATAGTAAACTAAACCTGTATGGTGTCATGCTGTCACTTCACAGTCATAGGAACCCTAACACACCAACGCTACATAGTGAGACCCTATCTTAACCCTGCCTCTCAAAAATAAACTGTCAATAAAGTAAACCATCTTCAAAGGAGTGACACCCTCTGTTCCCATAAACGTGTGGCTTTTTGGGTAGCCTGCTTTCATATGGAGGATACCATCTATGAATTTTGCTAGTTTCCCAGTAATCAAAGATTACTCCTAAACTCTAAAGTTAGGCAATTGGATCATTCCAAAAATCAAAACAAACAAAGCCTTTTGTTACTGTTTGTTAAATGGAGTAACTATTCCTCTGTTATTAATTGCCATCACATAATTTGCTGTTGTAGAGAGAAGTCTATATATGAATGACTTCTGAGTACTGGGATCACAGGTGTGCACAGCCACACCTAGAGGAAAACAGGATTTTTAGTATGGAGCAGTGGGTACGATCTAGCCCTGTTACTAGTATTTGTAACTAAGTAGCTCTACAGTAGTCTTTCATGGCCAGATGGCATGGACCTGAAATCTTAGGACTAGCCTCAAGGTAGGAAGGACCAACTGTTAAGCTGTGGCTACATAGGTCTTCAGACCTGTTTCACATGACATTATAATTTTAATTTGCATTGGCAATACAAAAATCTTAAAAATCCATCATACCAGAAAAAAATGTCCAGAAAGCCTATTTTTTCGATAAGCTAAATAAGTCTTCTAATTTACTGAGTCTCAAACCCAGCATCATCTTTTTTTAAAAACTTACCTACTAGAAACATTTATACATACACACACTCAGTGAACATACTTTGATGAGCTGTGGTTATTGTTACAGGAGCCAAGATTTCCTGTGTTCTATACTGAGTGGAACAGCACTGTAAAACCCTTCTAAAACAAGCTTCAGGCTTACTGGCTTTCTGTGTCTTGTTAACTCAGCATCTCTTGCAGAGAAGTGGGCATCCTGATCTCCAAGTCCCATGGGCATCCTGATCAGGCTCTGAGCAGGTGGCAGAGCCCAGACTTGCATGTCAGCTAATGACAGCCTGTGCTTGCCTTTCAGGTCCAGTATTTCTTCAAGATCTTGGATAACTAACAGTACAGAGAGTGAAGACGACATAGACTGAGACACTCAGACAAGCGAGTCACACACGTGAGGAATGTGTTCATTCTTTTATTGTCCGTTGTTTTAGCCTGACTGACACAAGATCAACAAGAGCACTGTACTCCTGGCAACTATTACATATGTTAGAACATGGATTTGCACTGTAGACAACATTTAACACCAGTCTATGGGGTACTGCATTGCTTTTTATAAAGTTCAAAATAAAGATTTTATTTTCAAACAAGTGACTTTGGTTTATTTCATACATTACACTTTTTCTTGCAGAAAAAAATAAAATTGTACAACTGCATAAATATAAAATTCTTCCACCATGAAAATGGTTAAAACATTCATAAAGACACAGCACCAGCACATGATGCCTCCAGAGAAAGGAAAGAAGGAAAAGAAAATGGACAAAGCAAATTAATTAGCCCCATCACTAGCTGAAGTGATGGGCAGATTCAGATCTCAGACACAGCTGTAGAACACACTGGAGGACAAGGGAAAAGATGGCGAGACAGCATTCAGCACGGAGCACAACACAACCCATCACCTTTTTGTGTTTTTCTGTAATGTCACTTAAAATTTTAAGGGCAGTTCCCCCATAACAGCCCACCCCCCCCAGCCCCAGGAAATAAAGATAAAAATAAAGACCTGATACCACAGGAAAAAGACTATGGAGTGTGTTAAAAATGCTCATTTGATGGGCCATTATCTTTGAAATTTCAGAGCCAAAAAACAAGAAAGAAAAGGAAAAAGTACCATGCCAGTTTTATTCCCATTGAATATTTACACCTTGGACAGCAATCCTTGCTCACGTAAAGTAGAAAACATATGAGAAAACATGGCTTGGAAAATGACCAGAGTGCGCACCTATAGTACTGTACACTAAAGAAAATAGACAAGGCGGCAATACTTAGGGGCCAGAGCACTGCTCACTACAAGTCAGTTATGGAATCTAATTTACAGTAAAAATGGGCACGTCCCAAGGCTCAATTTTTATTTTTCTTTTGTCATTTACAGTAGAATAAATATTTTGTTGCTATTGCTACACTTTAAATTTACATTCTAACCTATTAAATGCAGAAGCTAGTGTAAAGCATAGAGATTAAGTGTAGGTCCCATACGTATGACAGTTTGTTCAAGACTAGTAGGTTTGTGTATCTTTTTTAACTTATTAAATGGCTAGTGGGAAAGTTTTGTGCTTGTGATCAGCTCTTAATTAAAATTTTTACCTCAAAGCGTCCCTGAAAACGGTCTTTCTCACTGTACCCAATGTTCTCACCAAATGCCTTACATTCAATGCGAACCTCAGTGTCCACGGTGAGGTTGGTGAACTGGACAGCCAGCAGGGGCTGCAGGTACTTGGGCTGCAGAAGTTTGCCATAGTAGGGGTAATACTGCAGAGGGAAGCCGTAAAAGCCGCCCATTCCGAAGTACTCTATGTTTCCCACTTTTTCCTTGTCTTCGTCTCTCTAAAAACCGAAAAGGAATGTGGTTTAATTCTAACGGAAAACGTCGCAGGTCTCGTCTTGTTCTCTCGTGCAAGACTCTCAGCCCCGTGGCATGCCTACCTCAAACCTCTCAGAAGTCAGGGCCACCAAGGACTGGGTGACACCACAGGAAAGAGGTAATTTGGCTGCCTACTGCAACCAATAAACATTCACAAGAGGGGACTGCTTTCACTGTTCAAAGACAGACACTGAGGCAAAGGCCAAGACAATGCTTCTCAAAGCTGGCACGGCCTCCTACTAGAAGGCCTATGAGAGAAACTCCCTGAATCGTCCTGGTAGATAGATACTATTTCATTATGGACATCCTCTCCGGCAAGATTTGTTTGCATATTTGCCCCGTTTCTTACATTTATCTCTTGGCTTGGTATCACTACACTAATTTTTGGCATTCATTCAAAGAGAGAAAAGAAAGTTGGCCTCAAATTTTTAGCACATGCTGTGGACTAGCTCACACCTCTCAGGTCCATAAACCCACATTCCAATATATTAAATTGGGATATTTGAGTTTCTTGGGCCACCTGTACAGTTCCAGTTGCTCTTTTCAGAGTGACACGTGGAAGTGGTTTCTTACATCTAAACTGTCCCTCTAACTGTATGGAGTCTCCTCCATCCCTCTCATCCCACCCCACCTTCCTCCCACCCCGGACACACTCTTACCTTGCCGGTACACTGGACGGGGAGGACATTTGGATTATACTTTGTCGCTGGGTAAGTCTCCAAGGATTCATTCTTGGGAGGCTGAAAGTGAAACCCACAGTGGTCAACAAAATATATTTTTTTCCCCGAAAAATAAAACTGTTACATAGCCCAAACACTGATGACAATAAGCTGCAGGAAAGTGAGTGAGTGAGTGACCCCTCATCAATTAGAAACTTCTGTTTGGTTTGTTTGAAGCGAAGAGAAATGTCCAAGTGTGGTGATCATGACAAATGAGTGTTGACGCTAACCCACCATAACCCTGACTCAAAGGGCAAGGGAAGGTTAGAGGACTGAGTGACTCCTCATTACAGAGAGAGTCACCTGGCACTTCTAGTTCAAAGAATTAGACTTTTGTCCTGAGCCATGGGTGAAAACACTGTGCTTTTCTTCAGCAATGCGGTTGTCTTCAAAGGTTACATCCTCCTCTGAACCTGGAGGTGACAAAGGACACACACTGACAACCCCCCCCTACAACAACTCTTTCTTTCCAATTCTGTGAGGTAAATTCAGTACCTAAAGCAGGTCAAGGTGGCATTGCCTTACGCGATGGAGTGCTTGGACTGGGTGCGTCCACAAGAAGATCCAGTACAGTCTAGAAATGATTGCTACAGCAAAATAGAGCCCTCCTCCTACATCCCTGGTTCAAATCTACCTCCAAAGAAGGGTAATGAATATGTATTGCTGGAAAGCAGCCGTTTGCTTACTCACGTTAGCACTGCATCTGAGCTGGGCATAAGAGGTAGCACATACACAGATCTAAACGTGAGTAAGGAATTCATATTTTGGACTACTTCTTGTAGAATGAGAAAATGAGCATCTAGGACTTGTTCCAGGGCTTTCTGCTACCAATATTTCTGCCTTGAAAACTTAGACTAGAAAACACTAGTTTGACCTAAGATGTTGCCACAATCTACCCTCAGAAGATAAGAAAACAGGCACCCCAATTGAAATGACGAGTACTGTGCTCCCTAACAAAATATCATTCCACTGACAATGTGGATGGAAGAGACAAATGAGAAGAAGCTTTAACCAGAGGCCAAATACAAAAGGAGGAGACAGCATCTATCACAGAAAGGGCCCTCCCTCCAGATGTGGGAAGAGGAATCGCAACAGGTCAGCCTTTGCCCCTGTGAAATAGGAACCACTAAGAGTGTGTGGTGGGAACATTAAAAGCAAATGACCCAGAGAGGAGAAATTAGCTTCAGGCTTCCTTTAAATACACCACACCAGTTCCTCCTATTGCTAGGTTACCCTAGCCATAAATGACATGCAGGCAAGGAGTAGTAGTCCTGCCTATGGCACTCCCTATACATTATAAGCTTGTCTGTGTGGGAAGGTGCACTAACATCTATAAGAGATCCATCAAGACAGCCAGCCAGCCATCCACACACCACTGGTTCTTGCCTCAGGTAGATAAAGGAGTTTTGATGCATTTTTAGGAGAACTTTTCCTGCTGGGCTTGGTGGCCTTTAATTCTGTGAGTTCAAGGCCAGCCTGGTCTGCAGAGTTCAAGACAGCCAGGGCTACATAGAGACATTGTATCTCAAAAAAAAAAAAAAGAAGAAAAAGAAACTTCCTCCCTACACTGATTTTCTTTTGGGTAACAAGTATTATGGAAATAAATTAACCTGCAGTAAATGAAAGAGACAGGTTTCAGAAAGGAAGTGGGTTTGTTTAGGTCAATTCCCTCAAAATTAAAATGTGTACACTAATATTGAGCAGTGTTCATGTCATCTTTAGAGGAACTTCCAGTCAGAAGCCACGCCTAAGGAAGAAGGACAGTGGTGCTTATTAAGTCATGATCTGAGAAGAGAATAAGATAACCATTTAGGAAAGATGAGACAGGGCCTTTTCCTTCTAAAGAATTTCTCACAAAAACAGTGGCAATTTACTGTTTTTAGTGATCAAGTAATGTTCACTTGTTAGAAACTATATGATTATCCAAATTCAGAGATGGTGTCATTTTCTGGGTTTTGTAATGAAATCATCATTCAGAAAAAAAAACAAAAGAACAATTTTCTTTTCAGATTGAGACAGCACTTCTGATACACTGTTGTTGCTCCATTAAGTCCAAACCAAACGCAGCCTGTATGTTTACACCACACAGCCAGGAAACTCACATGTGAAAATAACTCTTTTATCTAGACACTAAGCAGAGTATTAAGAATAGGAGAACACAGAGCTGTGAGTGAGCACGCCCAAGTTCCATCATTGGAGAGATGGGACTAGGATGATAGGGAGCAGAAGGCTAGCCTTGGCTACAAAAGTGATTGAGATAAGCCTGGGCTACATGGAGACTATATCTCAAAAAACAAAGCAGGGTCACACTCCAAAATTTGGCTATGGTATGCAGTCTGCAACTTTACAGACTGAGGTGCCCTCGATAAAGGTTTTGGTACGACGGACAGCACTTCAAAAGTAGCAGTATGTGTATTTTAAAACTTCCTGTCTCCTCAGTTAAGCCACAGAAAGCATCTGCAGTGTAAAACACCACTTGCCTTAGGTTTGAAGCCCAGGACTCGGTTCAGCTTGATGATGATGCAGGGTTTCCCCTCTTTGTAGCCATAAGACTCATCATTGATTCCAGAGCAGTTCCCCAGCCACTCAAGCTTGAACCTGCACACCTTCCGCTCTCCTCGTTCATGATTAAATTCTCCCCGTTCCTTGGGTTCACTGGGCATACCTAAAGCACAAACACACTTACAGAGTGCACCAACTGTCTGCTGTCTTCCAAAAGGTATGTGTTAGTCAAGGCAACCACTGGGGAATGACCCCAAGGCTGACCTGCTCACCAGCTGCCCTCTATGGTCAGTGAGTGCTCAGGCTGTTAGTCTCTGCTAATGCAGTGGTTCTCAACCTTCCTAATGCTGCAACCCTTCAATCCAGTCATCACAACGGGAGTGTTGTGATGACCCCCCCAGCCATAAAATTATTTTCATTGCTACTTTGTAATTTTGCTACTGTTACGAATCGTAATGTAAATATCTATTTTCCAGTGGTCTTAGGACCCCTGTGAAGGGTTTGCAGCCCA